GTTCATCGTAAACAGTTACATCGATGCAAGCTTTTACATCAATCCAGATGACTCTAAGTCTTAATTTGGATACATATTGAAAGTGGGAGAAATTAGCTAGAGTAGCTCATGCAGAGCATTGTAGACATAGAAATTTGCACAATACATACGAATCTGAATGTGACAGACCCGTTGACTAAACTTCTCTCACAAGCAAAACATGATCACACCTTAGTGATCTTTGGGTGTTAATTACATAGAGATGTGAACTAGATTATTGACTCTAGTAAACCCTTTGAGTATTGGTCACATGGCGATGTGAACTATGGGTGTAATCACATAACAATGTGATCTATTGGTGTTAAATCACATGGCGATGTGAACTAGATTATTGACTCTAGTGCAAGTGGGAGACTGAAGGAAATATGCCCTAGAGGCAATAATAAAGTTGTTATTTATATTTCCTTATATCATGATAAATGTTTATTATTCATACTAGAATTGTATTAACCGGAAACTTAGTACATGTTATCAATACATAGACAAAACATAGTGTCCCTAGTATGCCTCAACTTGACTAGCTCGTTAATCAAAGATGGTTATGTTTCCTAAGCATAGACATGTGTTGTCATTTGATAAACGAGATCACATCATTAGGAGAATGATGTGATGGACATGACCCACCCGTTAGCTTAGCATTATGATCGTTACAGTTTCATTGCTACTGCTTTCTTCATGACTTATACATGTTCCTCAAACTATGAGATTATGCAACTCCGAATACCGGAGGAACACCTTGTGTGCTATCAAACATCACAACATAACTGGGTGGTTATAAAGATGCTCTACAGGTATCTATGAAGGTGTTTGTTGGGTTGGCATAGATCGAGATTAGGATTTGTCACTCCATGTATCGGAGAGGTATCTCTGGGCCCTCTCAGTAATGCACATCACAATAAGCCTTGCAAGCAATGTGACTAATGAGTTAGTTGCAGGATGAAGCATTACGAAACGAGTAAAGAGACTTGCCGGTAACGAGATTGAACTAGGTATGATGATACCGACGATTGAATCTCGGGCAAGTAACATACCGATGACAAAGGGAACAATGTATGTTGTTATGTGGTTTGACCGATAAAGATCTTCGTACAATATGTAGGAGCCAATATGGGCATCCAGGTTCCACTATTGGTTATTGATCGAAGATGTGTCTCGGTCATGTCTACATAGTTCTCGAACCCGTAGGGTCCGCACGCTTAACGTTCGATGACGATTTGTATTATGAGTTATGTGTTTTGATGGCCGAAGTTTGTTCAAAGTCCCGGATGAGATCACAGACATGACGAGGAGTCTCAAAATGGTAGAGACATAAAGATTGATATATTGGAAGGCTATATTTGGACATCGGAATGGTTCTGGAGATGTTCGGGTATTTTCCGGAGTACCGGGAGGTTACCGGAACCCCCCGAGGATTTGATGGGACTTAATGGGCTTTAGGGGGATGGAGAGAAGGGACTCAAGGGGTGGCCTTGCGCCCCCTCATGGGCTAGTCCGAATTGGACTAGGAGGGGGCGGCGCCCCCCTCCTTCCTTCTCCCCCCTTCCTCCTTCCCTCCTTCTCCTAGTTGGAATAGGAAAGGGGGGGGGGGGCGAATCCTACTTGGACTGGGAGTCCAAGTGGGACTGCCCCCCTTGGCGTACCCCATCTAGGGCCGGCCTCCTCCTCCCCCCTCCTTTATATATGGGGGCAGGGGGCACCCTAGAGCACACCAAGTTTTGCCTTAGCCATGTGCGGTGCCCTCCTCCACAGTTATACACCTCGATCATATCGCCGTAGTGCTTAGGTGAAGGCCTACGCCGGTAACATTATCATCACCGTCGCCATGTTGTCGTGCTGACGGAACTCACCCTCGTCCTCAACTGGATCAAGAGCACGAGGGACGTCATCGAGCTGAATGTGTGCTGAACACGGAGGTGTCGTACGTTCGGTACTTGGATCAGTTGGATTGCGAAGATGTTCGACTACATCAACTGTGTTATTAAATGCTTCCGCTTTCAGTCTACGAGGGTACGTGGACACACTCTCCCGTCTCGTTGCTATGCATCTCCTAGATAAATCTTGCGTGATCGTAGGAAAATTTTGAAATACTACGTTCCCCAATAGTTGGTGGTAAGCAGTATGACCATCATCGCCCACAACTCCTTTGTGTTCTACTTGTGCATATCATCTGCGCATATACCTGGCTCATGATGCCACTATTGGGGAATGTTGGATGGAAAACAAAAATATTAAGATCGCTAAGCGGAAGCGTATAGCAACACAGTTGATGTAGTCGTACTCCTTCACGACCCGTCCCGATCAAGTACCGAACGTACAACACCTCCGTGTTCAGCACACATTCAGCTCGATGACATCCTTACCTTCTTGATGCAGCAAGAGGGGCGATGTAGTAGATGAGTTCCGGCAGCACGACGACGTGATGACGATGGTGGTGAAGAACAATCTCCGCAGGGCTTTGTCAAGCACAATGAAAACTATGACAGAGGATAAACTAGAGGGTCGAGGTTACCGGCACACGACTTGGTGTATCTTGATCTGTCTTGGCTGCTAGCCCTACCCCTCTATTTATATGTTGAGCCCTGGGATCGAAACTTGGAGTAAAAGCCTCCTCAAAGTTGATTTTGCCCGAAAGGCAAGAGTCCTTCTCGGACTCCAGGACCAGACACCAGGGTCCCTGGCGTCTGGCCCCTTGTCTTTGCAAAACTGTCGTTTGCACTTACCAAAAGCCCCGTGCGCTACCCCTTGGCCCAAATAAAGTGTTCTCGTACCCGAACATTTCGGGAAACATCTGAAACCTCTTTCGGTGAATTTCGCAACCTTTCTGGAAGCCAAACACTATTATCCCATATATCAATCTTTACCCTCGGACTATTCCGGAGCTCCTCGTCATGTCCATGATCTCATCCGGGACTCCAAACAACATTCGGTCGCCAACATACATAACTCATATAATACTATATCGTCAACGGACATTTAGCATGCGGACCCTACGGGTTCCTGAATGATGTAGCATGACCAGGACGCCTCATCGGTTAATAACCAATAGTGGGACCTGGATGCCTATATTGGTTCCTACATATTTTACGAAGATCTTTATTGGTCGAACCTTTATGACAACATACGTAATTCCTTTTGTCTGTCGGTATGTTACTTATTGGTCGATCGTTAGTATCTTCATACCTAGTTCAATCTCGTTACCGGCAAGTCTCTTTACTCATTCCGTAATACATCATCTCGTAACTAACTCCTTAGTCACTTTGCTTGCAATCTTCTTGTGATGCTATATTACCGAGAGGGCCTAGAGATACCTTCTCCGATACACAGAGTGACAAATCCTAATCTCAATCCATGCCAACTCAACAAACACCTTTGGAGGTACCTGTAGAGCATCTTTATGATCACTCACTTACGTTGTAACGTTTGATAACACACAAGGTATTCTTCCGGTATCCGGGAGTTACATGATCTCATAGTCGAAAGAATATGTATTTGACATTAAGAAAGCAATAACAATAAATTGAACGATCATATGCTAAGCTAACAGATGGGTCCTGTCTATCACATCATTCTGCTAATGATGTGATCCCGTTATCAAGTGATAACACATGTCTATGGTTAGGAAACCTTAATCATCTTTTGATCAACGAGCTAGTCTAGTAGAGGCTCACTAGGGACACGGTATTTGTTTATGCATTCACACATGTATTTAGGTTTCCAGTCAATACAATTCTAGCATGAATAATAAACCTTTATCATGAATAAAAAAATATAATATAATAACAACTTTATTATTGTATCTAGGATATATTTCCATCAACACCTAGTGTGTGAGGAGGAGAAATCTGACCGGCGAGTCATCGGTGGCTTGCGGCTACTGGGAGGGGGTGGGCAACGACCACAGGAAGTGCTCCTTGATGTGGGGAAGCAGGCTATGCATCAGAACTTGGAGACGTCGCGTCGTTGCTTCCTAAATGTCACCGGACCTCCGCTCGGTCGCGACGTGATCGGCTGTGGAGTTCCTGCGACCGCTAGGGAACCAAGTAGACGATGGCAAATTGGCAACGAATCGACGCGGCGGCCGTGGCGCGGTCGGACTAAATGGGGTTGGCGGCGGAGCGGCGAGGGCCGCAGGCAGCTGGAAAAGGGACGGCGGGGTAGGGAAGTACGTCGGGGCAGGTGGCGAAGCGGCAGCGGTGGCCTACGACGGTGGATCTACTATGGCAGATGCGCAAATTAGGCGGGTTCCAGCTGGAGGCGGGTGAAAAACGGCTGCGCACGGGCGATTTGCGACAGCCTTGCGTTTTTGCAACAGCCGCATGCAAAGCGCCTTTTTGGGCTAGCCAATTTTATTTTATTCTTGCAAGAAATTTCTATTGAGATGTTGTTAGAGGATGTCTTTTGCCCCTTCATGCCCTAAACACGCCCTGCGCCCAATGATATGGCAGGAGATGCTCCAATTCATCATTATCTCAAAGAGATCATGTTGCTTCACTTGCTTGGAGTACTCCCTCTGTTTCTTTTTACTTCGCGTATAAAATTTGATCAAAGTCAAACTACATAAAATTTGACCAAATTTATATCAGAAAATATAAACATCTATAATACTAAAACTATATAGTATGAAAATACATTTCATGGTGCATCTGAGAATATTGATTTCATATTATGAATGTTGATATTTTTTAATATAAAGTTAGTCAAACTTTACAAAGCTTGAAACTTTATATGCAGACTAAAAAAATGGAGGAAGTAATAAACATTTTTGTTTGGAGGGGTTGTGGCTAAATAACATTTGGTTGGAGGACATGTTGGGAAAAGGCTGCTCGACACGAGCCCGCAGCGTCGCATCTAAATCCCCCCGTCCCCGCTGCGAAGCCCAGACCCGAACACAGCACACAACACACCAGAGGCCCAGACGAAGCGGCGGCAGCAGCCCGCGGAAGCGAGCGAGAGGAGAGAAGATGCTGTCGTCTTCCACGGCCCCCTCCCTCCGCCTCCACCACCACCAACCGGCCAGGCCCCACCGCCGCCGCCCGCCGGCCCCGGCGGCCTACAGCCAATTCCAGTCGCCCGCCGCGGCCTCCCGCCGCCACCTCCCCGCCGGGGCGGCCGTCCGCGCCCGCGGCTCCACAATCCGCGCCATCGACGCCGCCCAGCCGTTCGACTACGAGTCCCGCGCCGCGGGGCTGCTGGAGGAGCGGCAGCGCCTCAAGATCGCCATCGTCGGGTTCGGCAACTTCGGGCAGTTCCTGGCGCGCACCTTCGCGCGGCAGGGCCACACGCTCCTCGCCCACTCCCGCTCCGACCACTCCTCCCTCGCCGCCTCCCTCGGCGCCGCCTACTTCCAGGACCCGCACGACCTCTGCGAGTGCCACCCGGACGTCGTCCTGCTCGCCACCTCCATCCTCTCCGCCGAGGCCGTGCTCCGCTCGCTCCCGCTCCACCGCCTCCGCCGCAGCACCCTCTTCGTCGACGTCCTCTCCGTCAAGGAGTTCCCCAAGAACCTCCTCCTCACCTCCCTCCCGGAGGGCTTCGACATCCTCTGCACCCACCCCATGTTCGGCCCGGAGTCGGCTCGCGACGGCTGGGACGGCCTCCCCTTCGTCTTCGAAAGGGTCCGCGTCGGCGACTCCCCCGCCCGCCGCGCCCGCGCCAACGCCTTCCTCAACATATTCGAGCGCGAGGGGTGCCGCATGGTGGAGATGTGCTGCGCCGAGCACGACGCGCACGCCGCCGAGACGCAGTTCCTGACGCACACCGTCGGCCGGATGCTCGCCACGCTCGAGCTCAGCTCCACCCCAATCAACACCAAGGGCTACGAGACGCTGCTCCGCCTCGTCGACAACACCTGCAGCGACAGCTTCGACCTCTACAACGGCCTCTTCATGTACAACAAGAACTCCACGGACCTGCTCAACCGCCTCGAGTCCGCCATGGACTCCGTCAAGAAAAGGCTCTTCGACGGCCTCCACGAGGTGCTCCGGAAGCAGCTCTTCGAGGGCAAGGCCTCGCCGCCCAACACCGCCAACACCAGCAGCCACGCCGACGTGCACCGGAGGCAGCTCCTCCTGGAGGGCAAGCCCCCCTCACCCTCAGTGCCCACCCCCAACAACGTCACCGTCCCCAAGTAGCCTCCTTCCTCCCCTCCCCCATGCCTAGCTTGCTCTGCTCTGCTCCATGGTGATGTATGTATGATTAATCTCAGTTCTTTGCTGGTCTTATACATTGTGTTGTATTCTACTGTACCAGTTTGTATTTCTGCCGAGTGATTCCCCCATATGGGGAAAGAAAAGCTTGCACCGAATTATGGATATAGTATATGGAAATGATGAAATAAACTTGAATTGACATTGGAGTGTCATCAAGGAAAGATCAGGAGCAAAATTGGCCTGGCTTGTCTGCTGACAGTGAGGATATCTCGTGGATGATTTCAGTCTTAGATCAAAATCAGTGGGCTTTCTGACATTGGGATTTGAAAGTCCTTGTCGCCCCAAATGTTTCGTCAGTGACCCCTCTGTTGTTGCGAGAGCGACATGGACGAGGTTAGGTGACCATCTGCTAATCCACCTGTGCTCCTCTGTTCATTCGGTTGGTAATTTGGTTGGTAAGTTGCTTTCCTGACAGCGCCATTACTAGTGTGCCATCAAACGAAACTGTGTGCTATAATACTTTGTTTAATTACACATCATGGAAGCGGTAACCACTCCCGTCATGTCATATAGCTTGCTTAATGCAATGTTTAGTCGGATGATCATCATTAAGCAAGCATGACACGGTCTGTAAGTCATCCAACCAGCATTGGAACAACACATGATTTTTGCATATAACAGTGCAGTTTGTGTGGATGTTTTTTCGTGTGTGAAAAATTCAGACGTTTTAGAGGATCAATTTGTGCTGGGGAATCCGTCAATGATTTGCCAATACCAATCTGCTTCTCAGAAACCATGCCTTAGAATTTAGGTCTTATTTTAGTGTATATATGGTTTTTGTAGAACCTATGTTTGCAATCATTGGATTGTTTGCCCCCCTTTTACCCTTTATATACGAGGGGTGACACTATCATATTCTTATGGATCGACATTGTATCCGCTCCAACCTCCACTTCCAGTCTTCCACCCATTCGGATAGGAGTCGGCATCTTCTGTGTTTTCTATGTTGTATCCAAACAACTGTCTCCAGAGTTTCCATACTCTATGCACACTTGTATTTCTATAACATCATTATTAAGTTTATTTTTCTGTTCATGTTGTTTAGTTCCAAGGATCCAAACATGCCTTTAGGGTTCCGGATAGAGTGAGTCTCTTTCTGGAATGCAGGATTGCAAATAAATAAATAAATACGCCCTCCGTCCCATAATATATGATCGTTTTGTAAGATGTTTTATCTTGCAAAACGATCTTATATTATGGGACGGAGGGAGTACTACTATTGAGATGCCATGGCTTTGGGTAAATAAAGAGAAGAGAAGGAACAAAGACTTATAAATCTGCAAATCATAAAACAAAGAGAATATAGCTTGGAGCAGAGCACCCGCGATGGAGGGAGACGGCTTTGATATGTAGGGTTCGCAACCGTCCTACCCATGCCGGTCTTGACCTCAACTCGCAAGCGCCGGCGTCGAAGGGGTTCCCGGGGTTTGGGCTCTACGGAGCCTTCCTCCAGAGCGACGATGACGAGCTCCTCGCTGGGCGCGTCAGGGGCTCCGGGCTCCCTCCCTATCGCCCACCCTACCCCGGCGACTGAATTTCGGCGGCTCCTCGTCGGCGGCAGCTGGTCGCGGAGGAGGAAACAGTGGCGTGTTCCTCGACGGGTCGTCGTCGGGGGCCGGCGGCGGTGTTCGGCAGCGTGCCAACTCGGCCGCTGCGGCACCTAACCGCCGTAACCAGTGCACCAGGACGGCGTTCAGTGGCGGCTACGTTCGGCAGCGCGCCAACTCGGCTGCCGCGGCACCCAGCCGCCGGGCACCGACGAGTGCCGTCCGTGGGCAAGCATCCGGCTTCACAATGGTTATGAAGAATTGGAGGAGGATGTGGAGGTGTTAGCGAGCTCCGGAGGTCCCCTGGTGAGCCAAAGCAATCGAGCCCAATGGAGTTATGCTAATAGTGCTTGTTTGTTAGAATTGTGCATTGAGCAATGTGCAGCAGGAACGTATAATGGTGCACAAATGAGTGCTGAAGGGTACCAAGCTGTTATCGATGGCTTGCTTGCTCGAAGGGGGTTGGTGTATTCTCCTGTGCAGGTGAAGAACCAGATAGTTGTACTAAAAAACACCCACTCTTTTTGGCGATATATGCAAGTGTACACAGGGTTGGGGAGGAAAGCAGATGGAACCATTGATGCCGACTCTGAGTTCTGGATTACACACACACAGGTACACTTTTACTGTCTATATCAATGTAGTACTTCCTCTGTTCATTTTTATAAGGCTTTGTAGTTGTTTCAGACGGTGTGCAAAACAACACAATTTCACTTGTCTGAAACGACCTATAAAAGTGAATGAAGGGAGTATATCTTTAAATATGATGGGTCGCTGCTGTGAAGATTTATCCGCGGTTGTGACCAAGTTTTTCTTCCTACTCAGTTGGGTCGCTGCTGTGATTATTTTTCATTGCATTGGCAAAGTATATGGGTCTTCTATGCATGTGTGTTTGAGTCCGTTGAAATTCATATGCATGTAGTTACAACTATATATGCTTTTATGTAAATAAAATGGATTGTTGATGAATCTGAGCCAGTCAAATAATTTAAGTCTGAAGCAGTAAATCTTGATGAATCTGAGCCATACATATATATATATATATATATATATATATTATATGTTGATGAATCTGAGCCAGTCAAATAATTTAAGTCTGGAGCAGTAAATCTTGATGAATCTGAGCCATATATATATAGGGAAAATGCATCCTACTACCGGGTGTAGTTACACCCATTTCTCA